CCGTCCAGTGTGCTCTGCTGCGGCAGGCGCCGCGTGCGCTCGCTGACGGCGACGGCCGCGCTCACGTCGGACGACGAGCTCCCCGAATCTGCAGCAGAGTCCTGGCGCCGCCTACTGGCACTGCCGTACACCACTTCCCGCGAGGAACACTCCCACGGTAGTACGTCGGCCGTGTCGTCATCGAGAGGATCTCTGTATACAAAAAAAAATTGTAAGTAATTTTACTTACACAAAATAATCGTTATGGTTGGAGGAACGAGGTTAAAAAACTTCAATGACTACTATTATTACGTATATTCAAGTTGTTTGTTGGAAAGGAGGCGTGAAGCAAAATATGAAAATATTTACACAATAGTACCCAAGACTTCCTCGTAGGTCGAGTGGTTGAAAGTGCGACTACCGGTAAAGAGGTTTCGGGTTCGATTCCCGGGTCGGATAAAGTATTACTGGGTTTTTGAAAAAATCTCAGTAAGTGGCAATAGGTTTACTCCCTAGTACATGGGGCCTATAACACAAATAGTGAAATGTGGGTGGTGTGTGTCATTTACCGAAATGTGCTCCTCTGCCTACCCCTTCGGGTATAAAAATGCGTGATGGTATGTTAGTACCTAAGAGAGGAAGACAAAATCAAAATGTAGGGGAAGTTGTTTTTAAATGGTTTGCCCAGATATTTGTTTGGGTAAAATTTAGTAATTGGTATTTTTAAATAATGAATTAAATTAGGTTCATTTAAAAGTGTAGTGGCATCGTAAATAGGATATTACCAATATTTTTTGTCAGAATTTTGTGATTCGAAATAACCTGAAAGTGGTGATATCGCAGAGGTTGGACTGCGAGTGGCTGTGGCTGGGCTGGTCGGGCGGGCGCGGGGCCTGCGCCGCGCACACGGCCAGCTCGTGCGCCGACCCCGACAGCGAGCGGTCCGAGCCGCGCCGCCGGGACAGCGCCGCGCCGCCGCCGCCACTCGTCGAGCCCGGCTTCTTCTTTACTTGACCACCAAAGTTGAAAAACCTGTACAAAATATGATAACGTGTAGAGCTACAACTTAGGTTGATCGGTTAAAACACATAGTTTTATTT